GCTTACTTCGCAATGGGAAACCATCGACTCTGAAAGCTGTAGTGACCATCGCTTCATTGCCTACCAGGTAATGTGCGACTCGCCGGCCTGGCAGAGTAGTTACTACAGACTTACTGTTGGAAACCGCAGTCGATTTGCCAAATGCCTCGCCAACAAAACGGCCGACATAGTCACAGAAGTTTCTAAGGTTGAGAGTGTCGAGGATCTGGAAGACGTTGTGGCCACATTCACCGAGGCGGTCAGAGAAGCAGGAGACTGCATGCTCGCGCAACGGAGGCCCAACAACCACCGGTCAGTTCCCTGGTGGAGCCAGGAACTGAGTGTCCTGCGGAAGCGTGTGAGGGCGCTCCGGCGACGCTTTCAACGATGCAGGGATGACGACCTTCGGGCTACCAGGAAACTGGAGTTCCAGAGGGCCAATGCCGAGTACAAGTACAAGATAAACGATGCGAAAAAGACCTCATGGCTCAGTTTCTGTCAACGTATTAGTGACGAAAACCCGTTCAGCCTTCCTTATAAACTAGTTTCTGGTAAGCTAAAACGTAGTACGGTCTTGGGGTCCATCAAAAAGCCAGACGGAACCCTAACCTCCACACTGGAGGAGTCGATAGAGGTGTTGCTCCGCTCACATTTTCCATGTGATGAGCAATCAGATGACACCGAAGAGCAACGGCAGCTTCGAAGTGACGCGGAGCTGCCCGCTCTTGAGGCTGAGATGCCCGTGCCGGTGACTGACCCTGAGGTGACCCACATCATCGGTAACCTACGGAAAGGGAAGGCACCTGGCGTTGATGGGATCACGGCCGAAATGGTACAAGTTCTGCATCAGGAATGTCCTAACCTGTTCCGTACTCTGTATCAGAAGTGTCTGCTCCTGGGTCACTTCCCAGTGCAGTGGAAGCGGGCGCGACTTGTGTTCATTCGCAAGCAAAGGCGTCCGAAGAACGAACCTAAGTCCTATAGACCGATTAGCCTACTGCCAGTCCTGGGGAAGGTTCTTGACAGAATCCTCAGTGACAGAATACTCCACCACTTTAAGCGGAAAGGGCTACTACACCCACAACAATATGGGTTCCGGCCGGACATGTCGACCTGCAGGGCACTACATCGGGCGGTCAATCTGGTTCGCCAGAACCGCCAGCAGGGCCTCCACACATCGCTCGTTTCGATGGATGTTGCGGGGGCGTTCGACAATGTCTGGTGGCCATCCATACTGGGTGAGTTGCGGAAAGCGAACCTGCCGACCACCCTTGTAACACTTTCCAGGAGTTTCCCGAGTGGACGCACGGTGGTTTACCAGACCCCTAGCGAGAGCTATGAAAGGGTACTGGAAAGAGGCTGTCCGCAGGGGTCATGCATTGGACCCCTGCTCTGGAACGTTCTAGCAGATACGGCGCTGCGACTCATCCTTCCAGATGATGTCCAGCTGCAGGCTTATGCAGACGATCTGTTGCTAGTAGTTGCAGGCTTCAGCCGGAGCGACATGGAGCGTCGTGGCAACGAAGCAATAGAACAGCTCGTTCGCTGGGGGGAGCTGCACAAGCTCTCCTTCAGCCCTGAGAAATCAGAGGCCCTGACGGTGGCCCGAACCGGAGTTTTGGCACGCCAGCCAATTTACCGAATTAGGGGAAACCCCTCGGTGTAATCATCGACCAGACGCTATGTTGGACGCCCCACCTGAGGAGCGTTCGAGACAGAACGAACCTCACGATAGCGGCACTATCGAGATTAGCTAGGGAGAACTACGGGCTTAGTGGGGAGGCGCTTCGCACCATCTACAAGATGAGTGTTGAGCGCGCTGTCTGCTATGCCTGTGGTATCTGGTGGAAGGACTCTGCTAATGTCAAGCAGAGCAGAACTCTTCTCACGATACAGCGACCAGCAGCCCTACGAATTATAAGGGCTTACAGAACTGTGTCAACGGAGGCGGCCCTGGTCCTGGCCGGGCTCCTCCCGCTTCCTCTGGTAGTCAGCCAAGAAGCAGCCTTTTACCGAACAACGGTGGAAGGCATCGAGGCTAAGCATTGCAATCAGATGTACCCGATCAGACTAAGACGTCAGACAGATGTTTTGGGAGTCCATCCGGCCTACAGGATTGGACTAGATTGGGAGGCCGGTGAACCGGCAAACGTCGGTATTGAAATATATACCGACGGCTCTAAAGACGGTAGCTTGGTAGGTGCAGCGTTCTGCGTCTTCTATGACGGAGTCCACACGTACAGTCAGTCAGTCAGACTGAATGAGGAGGCGTCTGTGTTCCAGGCTGAACTGGTGGCTATGGCGGGAGCGTCCCAGTGGATCCTATTACATCCGGGTCCAGAGCCGGTCACAGTTTACTCCGACAGCCAATCGTCGCTCCAAGCTTTGAGCGACGGGTAGGAGATGGTAGCGTGATCCGTTGGTACATGAGGTCAGAAGTAATGTGCTGCGGGCAAGGCACGAACGGTACGTCGCCCTGCGGTGGGTCCGAGGCCACATCGGGATCCCGGGCAACGAACGTGCTGATCAACTGGCAAAGGCGGGAGCCAGTGGCCCGTTTGTAACGAGGAAGGTAGAACCCTCGACTACTTACATTAAGGGCACGCTTTTACGGAGATCGATGATACATTGGCAGGAGCGCTGGAATCAAAGTACGGTGGGCAGGTTGACCCAAGCCTTTGTGCCTAACGTCGGCCGAGTTCCAGTGAGTTGTGATTTCAGATTGACGCAAATCTTGACCGGACACGGGAGGTTCCCCCACTTCAAGTCCAAATTTGGACAAGGAGATGGTAGCTGCCCCTGTGGGTGTCCTCGCGGTGATGCGAGACACTACGTGCTTGACTGTCCTCTCACAGAGGACTTCCGCCTAGGGGCTGACCAAGTCAATTGGAATATGCCCCCTGATCAAGTGCTTCGAACGCTTGCAGCTAGTGAAGGGAACAAAAAGAGACTAAAGGAATTGATGGTTATCGTTGCCGATTTAATCGATCAATAAAGACCCTCCTTTGTGAGAGGTCCCACCGCCCGTTCGTTAGTGCTCTGCACTTTCGCTGAGTACTCTCTTGTACAGATACACTGTACACCTCGCACGTTTGTTTGAGGCCGGACCCGGGAAGCGATGAAGGTAAGGAAGGCGAGGAAAGCAATGAAAGCAATGAAGGTCGGCACTTTGAGATTGCCTAGACTCGAGCCAGAGCTAGAGCCAGAACCCAAGCACTACCCCGGGCCGACTTACTTGTCACTGAGCCCGGTGATCTCTGGGCTACGGACCAGCCGATGATTAAGTCAGAGTCCCCCTTCTTCCCTGTAATGCCATTCGGCGGGGCAGGGGCATAAACCACGAGGTTGTCATATGAGGCACCTTACCCATGAACTACACTTTGTCTCTTACGTCATAAAATACAACTGGGATTTTGGATTGCAAAGTTGAGATATTTGTAGGACGACTCTAGAATAGTACATTTGAGTGGCATACTACTTTTTGCACTACTTTAAAAATAATTTAGGCTATATTTTGAGGAATTTACTTTACTTTTTATAAAATTTATTTGGCAATCTGTGAGATTCTCACCAGATAAATGTTGTTTACCTGCAGTTTATTTATATTATTATTATTATTAACTATTAATTAATGAAAATATCATTCTTTATATATAACTATATTCTGTTTGCTTATATCAATTACACTGCATTTGCCATATTTTACAGACATGTAAATCTTGGATAATTCAAAACTTGATAATTTGAAATTGTAATTATTTCATCTCTTGAATTTTAAGCTAACGAGGATTTCTTGTATATATTAAATTAGTCTTAAAATTAATTTAATAAAAATTATTTTTAAAAATCATATGAGTAAAATATGCACCGTTATTTTGAAAGTTTTGCAAGTCCATTTTTTCTTCTTTCAAAATATTTAAAGGTTTACATTTTAGTCAATTCAAATATATAAATAAAGCATACTAAGTTTGTCAATGTTTCTATGATTTTAGAAATATGTAAGTTGATTACATAGACTTTTATGTGAATTTAATTAAACCGATATATTCTTTCTGGTTCTGACTTTCATAATTATTCAACTGTAAAAGTCATTAAATTTCAATTATGTAAAATTCAATTTCACTTGAAATACATTGTATTTTATTCTGATTTTGTTTATAAATAATAACAATAAAATAAAATATCATTGTTTATTCCTAACATTAAAAATATTTACTTATTGTTAAACTATTATGAGCTCATCATTAGACACTGCTTTTCATTTAGGCTTGTAATGTGAATTTTTTTTTTTCAATTCATCTATTTTTGTTCCATCAAATTATGCTTTTGTTGGTAAAATTCATAGCTTTTCTTCTCTCTTATAATGAACTGTCCATAAATGATGTCCACACTGGAAGGGAAAAAGGGGGTTAAGACAAGTTGTACAAGGTGGATTGAGCTTCAGCATATGTCTGGTTTATTTCACTAAATTTTATATAGTTTTTGCATTTTATTTATTTCAAAATTTCTTGTATATTTCATTTCTACTAATGATAGATATCATTCGTAAAGTGATGGAAAGTTTTAACGAGGGTTGAGTTATGTTGGAGAGCCAAAGAGGGGAAGGTGTTACAGAAACTAGGACAAACTGGAACAAGAGGAGAAAGTAAAAATTTCAAAAAAAAAAATACAGACACAACCTATAAGTGCTTAATTAGACTGTAGAAAATGGACTTAAACCACTTTCATAATCAATGGTTATGCAATGTCATTTACTGACAATTTTTAATTGATCAAAATGTATGGTTATTTTAAAATACTAAGTGTGAATTGTTTTTAAATAATTTATGTATAATTTAGTGTAAACGTTTTATGTAATTTTTCAATTTTTTTCCAAAAATGGACTTAAACCACTTTCAAAATAAATGGTCCATACATATTAAATACTGTTTAAAGTTCTTGTAACATTAATAACTTCATTTTACACAATTAAACTAATTTTATTGACATTTATAATATTATAATTTATAAAATTTCCATAAAAATATCTAAATATTTACCAATCATAATTACGTAAAACTGTTTTCAGGGCATAAATGCAAAATAAGAACATAAGAAGGATTTTCATTATTGATTTCCATTCTCTAAAAAAAATTAAACATATGTTAATAAAATCTGTTAAAATCTTCATAAATTAATTTGTAAATTTAAACTCACAATCTTTCATTTAATAAATTCCATCCATGAGCAACAAGCAAACAAAATCCCATACTTGGTGTATATAAAACCCTTTCAGCTACAACAAATCCAACAGGAAAAAATAAATTTGATGCAGGAAGAAATGGAAATATTATCAATGCAAGACTCTGAAAAGAAAGAAAAAATAATTAATTTCAAATATTTGGATACAAGATAAAGTTAAAAAGCTTAATTCTTCACAAAATACACTTCTTTAAAAATCCAAAACAAACACAACTTAGTTTCAATTATAACAAACTATCTCAATATTTTATTAGAAGTTAGATACAAAAAACATGCTTAAATGTTTTAACAATGACAACCTATCTTCAAAGTTTAAGTTAAACAAAATTATAAAATTATAATTCATAATACTCAATGAAAGGAAATCACATCATATCCATGACAGTATAAGAACCATGTAAGACTACATAAAATACAAATAATATTAGCTAAATATTAAAGATGCCATTTGAAAATTAAATGATTTTAATACAGTAGTAGATCAGGATACGAATGCTCCAGCATACAAAATTTTCAGGATACGACATGAATTCGAACATATTTTTGTTCCATGATACGAACAAAAACTCACCATACGACATTACATTAGTTTGCAGTGCCATTTTTTATTCACTTCTGTTCATCAGTGTTGCTTCATTGTGGAATAATCTCGCTCAATAAAGGAAATCTTGAGGTATTATCAGAAAGTGACTGATTTTATTGAAAAAAAACATCCCATAAAGGTTCACACTGGCCGTATTGCTGCTCATAGTAATGACATTTGCCTAAGTCATTTTAGAAACATTTTAAAAAGTAGGCAAAGCTCATTGGATAGATATTTTACCAAGCAACCTCTATCCAGTGAAAGTGCTGGTGAAAGTGAAGAAAAGAAAGCAAAAAGCAGTGAATAAAAAATTAAAAATAACACTAATTTTTTAACTTTTCTGTCTTATATATTTTCTTAAAGTTATTGTTACATTATGTTATGTAAGTTAAGTTTTAGTATCATTTCCCTTCTCTCACTCTTCCACCACCAGTTTACACCTCCACTGTCGTCTATCCTCAAAGGTAAAGTGCAAATAAAACTACATTTCTTTTTATCAATTATTATTCTATTATGGTTATTTATACATTTACAACTATAAAAATGCATTTTTCAGTGTTTTCCTTACTAAAGTTTTTTTTTTAATGTACTACTTAGCTTTAATTTGAGTGTTTTTTCATGTTGGAATGAATTATTTGCTTTTACATGTAATCATATGGGGAAAAATGATTCATCTTACAACATTTTCATTATACAATCTCAGTTTTGAAACGAATTAATTTTGTATCCTGAGGTACTACTGTACTTTTACTTAATACTGTTAAATGTTTTATGCTTTAAAGTCTCTGAGGAAACTGTTTAGAATTTTTAAAATTTTAATTCTGAAAATAAGACTATGTAATTGTCTTTAAATGGTGTTTTAAAACTACATGTTCCTGAAGTGTTCAAATGGTTTTTAAATTATCTAATGCAGAAGCCAAAAAAAACCTTGAAAGCATTTATTGATATTTAAATTCTATTCTTAGTTTTCCTATATTAAGCATTTTTAAAATATTTTAACTCAATACATTCTATAAAAGTTGACATTAAATTGACTCCTTTATTCAATCTAAACAATAATAATAAAGCAAACTTCTTAATTTAAAAAAGTTTCTTATAAAAAAAATTCAATAAAAAATTTTCAAAAATTATTTCTCATCTTTACATCTGAAAATTGAACTAAATTCTTTGAATCCATTCAAATTAATTCTTTAAATGAATTCAAGGAATTTAGTTTCTGAAAATGGGACGTAATTCACAAAAATGTTTGTCAGTTTTTATAAGACTTCCATAAAGTAGATAGTTTATTTTATTTTTTTGTTTAGATGTTTTATGAAATTAAAAGAAAATTAAGTATGAAATGATCAATTATATATGACATAAATTACAAAAGCAAAATGAGTTAAATTCAAAATATTGACATTTCTTAACTATCACTACAATTTACATGACAATAAAGTTATTTTTATATATTAATTAATAAATGTATTGTTATAAAGTTAACCATTCGTTTTGGAAGATAAATTAACTTGTTTTCTGTAAACAGTTCTATTGATAATTTTAATGTGTTATATTCATTATCATTATAATAAATTTCTAACGTTTTACTGCAGTACTATAATTAATTTATATTCTAAAATTTTCAGAATTCTCATTAAATGGCTCTTTATTTTAAAATTTGAGAATTACAATAAAAAATAAGAAAATGTAGTAATCCAAATGATAAAAAACTCACAATAATTAAAATATTTGACTGTTCATCATCTGATGATATAGCTCTCCAAATCATTATTCCAACTGCACAGTAGAGTGCCAATGTAGCCAAATTTCTTAGATCGAGGAATGATTCTACAAGTGGAATGGTCCCCATTGTCCAATCACAACATAAATTGTATGGGTAAAGTAAGAGCCATGCATTGACAGGCAATAAATAATTATACGTGAGTTGTCGAATTGGTGTTTCAGATACAGCTGCAGGATTGTCAAATCTGTAGAAATAAATTTCTATATTACTAAAATAATTTTTTCTTGTATTTAAAATAAATGCTTAATAACAATAATAATACAAAATTTCAAGAAAGTTCATTTAGTCTTGATGATCTTTCTTGAAAAATAGTGTGACCTCTTTGGCTTTGAAATAGCTTGATGGATTTTCTCTTACGTATTCCTTTTGTTTCTTCTTTTTAATATACCAATAAAAGTCAGTGATCATACCCAAATTCCAATATTTTTGATACTTTCATTCCACTGATTTTTGTATTTTAAGGAAATCCTTCAACCATCCTCATTCATTGAATAAGGATGGTTGCTTTAAATGAAGATGCAAAAAATGAAGTTTAAGGCACATCTTGCATCCCAACTTCTCAAATTATTGTAGCAGTTATTCCTTAATATTTTTGAGATTAAAATGTTTTGTTTCCAAGAAAATTACACAATATTCCAGAAATCTACTAAATGTTTTTTTTTTCAGTTTTTGGCATTTTATCTTCAAATCACTCATCTGTGTATCACATTCACAAATTTTTTTATTGACTTCTGAAATGTGGAGACTTACTGCAGAGGTATCAAATAGTCTCTATTATAATCTTATGCTTTGAAAAATGTTTCACAAGACCAATTTTATATGACAAAATTTTTTTGGTCAATTAAATTTTTACAAAGAATGTTTAAGGTGTTGTTCAAACTAACATGCACATGCATGCACACAAACCATAAACATGTCATATATTTATTTAGGTTTTCTATGTGAAAAAAATATATGAGGGTTATTGCACAGCTAAATAAATTTAACTTAATATTGATGCAAGTAATCAGGGATGATGTTATACAGAAGTACGGAGAAGTGGATCACTTCTCCAAGAATCAAATATAATGATTTCAGTCAGAAAATAGCCTATAAGCTATTTTCTGACTGAAATCATTAGAAAATAGTCTATAAGCTATTTTTTAATATTTATCTCAGTCAGGAAATGATCAAATTTAAGCCAGCACTGATCTTCACTAAAGCTTTTCCCATATCCCCTGACTTGTTTTCTATTCAATTCTAGATAGCTGACTAGATTATTTAAATCATGTAATTTAGCAATAAAAAATAACCAAAAATTTTAAATATTTCTACCATTAAGGAAAATTGCATAAGATAAGAAAAAATTAAAATAATTTTGTATTCAGTATGACTNTGGTTAATTGGCTCTCGAATGTTTATAAAATATTTAGTAAATATTTATATCTGAATTTAAAAATAAATAACTGGTAATAAAGTTTTTTCATAAAAAAACAGTAGTCAATATCAAAAAGATACAAATGTGTATGTCTAAATAGAGCAATATATTTTTTTTTAATTCTAGCAAGGAGATACCAAAATTTATTCTGATTGACAATTCCGATTCTTTTGAATATTTTCTAAAGTTTAGTTTGGTTTAGAAAAATTAATGATTTACATTATGAGCATGCTCCATTCATTAATAAACATCAAGCTTAAGAATTGAAAATGATTTGAAGTATTGATTCTGGATTTTTCAAAGAAATCTAAAAATTTTCCATTTATATGTGGATATTCCTGTTTTTGTTGTGTACTACAAAATAGATTTGTAATCTTATTTCAGATAAAGTTAATATTGCAACACTATCCCCAAAGAAATTTCAGCTAATTTGCTTTTACTCAAAGAACTATCCCATCATGTCACCTAGGTTTGCTATCTTCGGAAACTGGCTTCACAGGACAACATGACTGGGGAGGGGGGGGGTCAAGGTAAATGAAAAGATGCATTCTTTTTCCACACTTCTCTTAATCAGACTGCCTTGTAAATGCTTTAATTCCATCATATTTTAACACTGAATGATATTCAGCAAATGATGCAACAAGCTAAACAAATATCATCATCATGAGTTAACCAATTTTTGAATTCATTCACTTGAGCCAGATTTTCTTAAATGTACAATTGTGTGAATTTTTCTTCGAGGAAAAGAAGAATCAGATGAATATTTAGACTTACTCATCTTAAAAAATAAATAAATTTTTTAAACTCAAAACAGCAGTAGACTTAGCATAAACAAGTACTTCTATTTAAAATCATGTGACTCACATTTGAAAATTTAACACAGTACAGCATCATCAGTGAAACATAAAAGCTTTCATATTTATAATGAGCATCATTTTACCATTATAAATAAACATATTAAATATAAAAAATAATTTTATATAATATTTTTTCAATTCAAATATAGTTTTGTTTATATTTTAAAATGCTTCACTGAAACTTAAATGTTTTTGTCAACTGCTGGCCTTGATTTTAATTAAAATTGCTGGTTTAACTTGCCCAATAATGACCAGGTAGCAACCTAATGTCACCCTATCTCCCATAAAATGGGGACAGTTAGTATTGATTAAATATTGATTAAGTGCAATCTCTCATTGTGATGGGGCATCTCATATTTTCTGCTTTGTCAACAGAAGTTTTCAATAAACTAATACTTAATATTATCACAATTTTTAAAAATTTTAATCTGCTAAATATAATATTCTAACAGCAAGATGTTATTCAATATAAATAAAACTCACTAACCTTATGTGGGGCTTGTAAATACAAGCTCCACATAAAGTTATTGTGAATACATAATTGTGAAAACTGTTACAAATGTTTTCAGTACACACGTAGGATCTTCCTCAGACGAATTTCCCTAAAATTCAAATCTCTCCAATGCTAGTGTTCTAGCTTGAAATGCATATAAGATTCTGATGTATTCAAATTCAAACATTTTCTTTTCTAAAATTTTTTTGTTGAATATCCAATAGGCTGTGTTTGCAATGCTTACTATAATGGGTCGAATATAGCCTGACATGCCCTTGAAATTTGTTTTTCTTATTTGAAACTGATATAGAGGCCCTGGAGATCTGCTTTAAACATTTCCAATCCTTCTAAATTTCTAAGCTGGTTTGTATGGTATGTTCTTCATATTAGGGTAACCTGTTTAAGTTCTGGCTTGATCTCATTATCACTTGCATATATGGCCAAGGCAGCTGTTTTTCTTTTCTGTATCAGCTTTATGTTCAGGAAGGTGCTGCTTGAAAGACCTTTTAGTAGATCTGTTGCATAAAAGGTCTCTATCAAACCTGTTGTTTTTTTAGTGGAATTTTATATTCCCCCATGCTCTTTCTATGTCTGCTTGATGTTTCTCATTTCAAAGCAGTTTGAATATACCCAGTTTATGTCTGTATGTGATTTTTGCATTAATATCTGATGCAATCTTTTGATATAAAGAACGCATATAAATATTTATATTTTAATCTTCAACTGAAATAAATAATTAATTTTCTTATTAAATGTGGAAGAAATATTTTAAGAATCAGAAATTGTGATGAGATGTGCTTGATTCCGATTCCCAAAAAATAGCCAATTTTTCCAATTTCAATTAATCATCCCATCATTATTTAATTCCCTCTCTTCTATTAGTCCATTACGCTGAATCATTCCAATAACAAACTTTAAAAGTCCAAACATGAATAAACAGTTCAATGAAAACAATTTCAGTTATAAATATACATTTTTTTACACAAACAATTGTGTAAAACTTTGTACCATATTCAAACGTCTTGAAATTAACAGCTAAGTTAAGAAAACCAGTGTTTATTATTTTAGTTATGTTTTCAGGTGTTTTTAGTCCCTTATTAATATCCTAAATAGAATTTAGATATAATTCACAAAACAAAAAATTAAGTTATACAATTGATATTTGAAATAAACAATCCAAAAACATTTCTAAAAGAATAAATATTTTGGCTCTTTTTTTTAACTTAGAAGTTACTTTGTAAATACTTTTAAGCAAACATTTTTCCTACTTAATTATCATCATCATCAAACANAAAAAATGTCTATAATACTGTACAATAGCATATATTTATTTCCAGATATTTAAACATTTAAGAAAAATAAATAAAAAATATATATTAAAAATACAAAATTTCAAGAAAGTTCATTTAGTCTTGATGATCTTTCTTGAAAAATAGTGTGACCTCTTTGGCTTTAGAAACGTCTTTGTACAGAATTCATGTTGACATATATATGTCAACATAAAAATGTTTCCTCATCAAAATTTACTAATTATAATAATCAATGGAAATAATATATTTCCATTAAAATGTACAGTAGAAACTGCTATTGTAACCACAGACATTGTTATCAATCATTTAATCTAATGTCAGACAAATGTCAAAATGGATGGATGTTATTTTTTGGGTTCATGGACATGAAGACTCACAGACATGAAATCAATTGTCAGATGAGCACTATATTCCACAGCATGCTTTAGTAGTCAATTTTATATCAGACATGTATATATCAACATGGATCTCATAGATTGTGATGTGCTGTTTTTTATTATGTACAGAAGTATTTAAAAACAAAAAAGATGTTGACAAAAGTTGTAAATATCACTAAAGAAACCATTACACACTTGTATCCAGTCTTCCTTTCTTTTTTCTGTCTTTATAAAGTTTGGATGAAGTGTCCTCTAATTCTGGCCTGCTCACTAACTCATATTTATATCGATGTCCATTTTTTAAAACACACAGTTACATACACCCTTCAGCAGGAATAACACCAATCTGGCACTTCCTCAAAACAATGTTACAACATCCATTAATTTTTGCACTCATCTGATGACTGTAGAGTCAAGTGTATCTCCTAATATGCACTGGTCACACCATCATGAGAGTATCGTGGATGATCCAGCAGGCCATCCGTGCAGAGCCAGCATCATTTTTTGTGTCCATATCTGACTACTCTTGTATATTTTTGCACCCTTGTGACATCCACTAAAAACAACAGATGTGAAATCATAACTCGTCTGACATTAGCTTTTATCAGAATTAACATGTCCCAAAACAAACTTTAAGTATATTTTAACCACAACAAATTGAAACATTGTTTGCAATACATGGAATTATCTTTGGGTAAACAGGTATTTTTAAGTAATCTTTTCGCACTATCAATGTCAATACTTACTGATATCAGTTATTCTTATCAGTTTTACCCAATGCTTTAAAATGTTAAATATTAACAGCGAGGTTGTGGCTGAAGTTTTCATCTCTCAAACGTGAACGTCGAACGTCACTTACAAGATAGCGGCGCTCAATGTTCACGTTTGAGAGATGAAAACTTCGGCCTCAACCTCTCTAATCACTAATTGTTCTTTGGGAGTAAGTACAAAATTGGTAAGTGGAGATTAGATGCTATTAGATGAATAAAATAGTGTTTCTGTGTGATAAGTTCTACTTACCAATGTTGTACTTACTCCCAAAGAACAAAAGAAAGAACAACAAGAAATCAAGTATTACTACATTAATTGCTATTTGATAGCAATAGAATAGTTTAAAATTTTGGTAGTTTTTACTTCAATTATCCACTGAATACATAACTATTAATTAATAAATCTTCACATTATAAATTCATAAATTGTTTTAACATGTCTTTTTAATGTCAGAATCAATAAAATTAGACTTTCCACTAATTATAGTCATATTTATTTACTTCATTTAATGTTATCAGTCAGTTATCATCATTAGTGTAGATAAGTCCCAAAGTGATAACAATAAGCTAATTATATTTTATTTAAAAGTATTTAAAAATTTATTGCTTACCCTTTGAGCAATAAATATTTCATATACACAACAAACAGCAACAACAGTTATTCCTTGTTCTTTACAAAGAGTTGCAATAATTGTTATAATAATACACTGTATCAATGAAAACCATTCTGTAATAGAAATAAGACTCAAAATTAATCATCATCATCAATAAAATAAAATTAATAAAATTTAATTGACTTATAGAGTGAGAGATGAAAGATTATATTTTAAAAACTCCAANTTTATGGTTATTTTTTAAAATGATTTTCTAGCTTCAGGTTAAATTTTACCATTTTTATAGTTTTAATTAGTTTGTCAAACATATCATGATTTCAGTTTGTTCCTTTACCAATAAAATCAGTTATCACTGTTTATAAAGCTATAAATTACTCTAGCACATGCAGAGGATGTCATAAGAGGACCCTATGGGAGACTAGAACAAATATACCCAAATCTGCATTGGCACATTCATACATCACTAGACTCAATGGATTTTATTGATTAAATCCAAATTTTATTGATAGAACTAAGATTCTGCAGGACATAACCTGGGAATTCCTGATCTAGAAGGGAGTGCAATAAGTACATTTCACCCTTTCTCAAGTTTACAGTAACATTAACAAGAGAGCTCTGAACAACCTGACTGGGACAAAAGGTTAGACCATCAACTACATAGTTCCTCATCATGCTTGAGAGAAAACTATCTAGTAATTAAATAATAAATTTAAATTTTCACACTTACAATATTTAAATTGATACCAAAAGTCCTGAGAATGTTTCGAATTATACAAATTTATGAAATATATATCACAGATATTGTTTATAGTTAGCTTCAAATACAAAGTTATTACCAAGTTAGCTACAAATAACATTATAATTTGAATCTGAAAAATCTAAATCTATCTAGAATATAAATAACTATACACATATTGGAAAAATCTCAACTTATGAACTGATCTATTATTTCAAAATAGAATATCTAAAATAAAACTAGCAAAATAGATAAGACAATTTACTAAACTATCAACTTGAAAACCAATAAAGTTTCTTCAATAAGTTTCATAGCTAACAACTTATGTAGTCATATTTTTCAATTTTTGATGAAAATATAAAAATGCATGTTTACAAACAGATTTGTTGGCAGAGGTTTTAAAACCAGTATGACTTGGCATAATTCTGCTATGCAGATTTCAGAAATATTATCCAATTTTTCTATCATATTAATATTTTCTTCTATTAATAAAATTAAAAAATGTCTATAATACTGTACAATAGCATATATTTATTTCCAGATATTTAAACATTTAAGAAAAATAAATAAAAAATATATATTAAAAATACAAAATTTCAAGAAAGTTCATTTAGTCTTGATGATCTTTCTTGAAAAATAGTGTGACCTCTTTGGCTTTGAAATAGCTTGATGGATTTTCTCTTACGTATTCCTTTTGTTTCTTCTTTTTAATATACCAATAAAAGTCAGTGATCATACCCAAATTCCAATATTTTTGATACTTTCATTCCACTGATTTTTGTATTTTAAGGAAATCCTTCAACCATCCTCATTCATTGAATAAGGATGGTTGCTTTAAATGAAGATGCAAAAAATGAAGTTTAAGGCACATCTTGCATCCCAACTTCTCAAATTATTGTAGCAGTTATTCCTTAATATTTTTGAGATTAAAATGTTTTGTTTCCAAGAAAATTACACAATATTCCAGAAATCTACTAAATGTTTTTTTTTTCAGTTTTTGGCATTTTATCTTCAAATCACTCATCTGTGTATCACATTCACAAATTTTTTTATTGACTTCTGAAATGTGGAGACTTACTGCAGAGGTATCAAATAGTCTCTATTATAATCTTATGCTTTGAAAAATGTTTCACAAGACCAATTTTATATGACAAAATTTTTTTGGTCAATTAAATTTTTACAAAGAATGTTTAAGGTGTTGTTCAAACTAACATGCACATGCATGCACACAAACCATAAACATGTCATATATTTATTTAGGTTTTCTATGTGAAAAAAATATATGAGGGTTATTGCACAGCTAAATAAATTTAACTTAATATTGATGCAAGTAATCAGGGATGATGTTATACAGAAGTACGGAGAAGTGGATCACTTCTCCAAGAATCAAATATAATGATTTCAGTCAGAAAATAGCTTATAGGCTATTTTCTGACTGAAATCATTAGAAAATAGTCTATAAGCTATTTTTTAATATTTATCTCAGTCAGGAAATGATCAAATTTAAGCCAGCACTGATCTTCACTAAAGCTTTTCCCATATCCCCTGACTTGTTTTCTATTCAATTCTAGATAGCTGACTAGATTATTTAAATCATGTAATTTAGCAATAAAAAATAACCAAAAATTTTAAATATTTCTACCATTAAGGAAAATTGCATAAGATAAGAAAAAATTAAAATAATTTTGTATTCAGTATGACTGATTTAGCAAAGAAAATTTAAATCCTCCTGGACCTTAACCATATAGACCTGTGAAATTAAATTACAATAGCAAAAACAAATCATAATCAATAAAAACTGATAATTTTTAAACTAAGAATTAAATTCATAACTAAACTTTATCAATGATTCTGAAATAAAAAAACTTTAAATTATAAACTAATATAACAACTCAAAAAATTTACGTTTGATGAAACTTATATTTGCAATAAAAATTTAAAGTATGTCTTCTTCATCTGAAGTTTAAAGTATAAATTTGTATACACAGTATTTATTTCATTCTTTAAATTATTTTTAGTGAAATTTTGTATAACAATGATAAAATCAACACATTTTAGCATTGCCTTCAATTTTTGTTTTTAATATAAAACTTCAAATAATTAAACAAATATAAAAATTTACTTCTGTTTAGAATAAACATGATCTATAGTACATTATTTTAATGTGAAAAATATGACTATCATAGAATGTAAAATACATTAAACTTCTGTATAAATTTTGATATAAGAACTATAAAAAATTCACAAATCCTTGAAACTAATATAATCCTTCTAAATGATTAACGTTAGACTTAAACTTATTTTGTATTCATCTTAGAGAAAGCCAAATTTCTGAAATATTTGTAATATTGTTGTTTACATTCTTTTCAAAATTTGTTATATTACATTTGTTCACTTTGGCTTTAAAGAATTTCTAGTAAACTTCCTTTATAACAAGTTTAATTCATGATTTCATGATGTTTTTCGTCATCAGTTTGAGATCATTTATAAATTTTTAAATTTCCAAGCATTAAATATCTAATTAAAGGTCTATTCCATGTGATTAGGTTATATGTATTTAGAAAATACATATAACCTAATCACATTTTGTATTGTTTAACATAATGTTGGTTCTTATATACCGTATTTTTCGCCGTATAAGACGCACCGGCATATAAGACGCACCCAATTTTAAAGGAGGCAAATTCAGAAAAAAAAAGATTATGAACCAGAGACGAGTGCCTTCACCCGCTCCCGTGCTGGCTTACGAGACTCTAAAAAGTGCACAAAGCCAGCGCGGGAGAGAGCGAAGGCACGTGCCTCTTCGCCCAGCCAATCGCAGCGCGAGGCAAAGACCGCACAAAGCCAGTGCGAGGCAGAGCGGAGCTTCCTGGTATCAGACGGCGCCAAGAGGTGGAAGGGAACGGAGTGGCCGAGTATTCCTGCGGTTATGTATGTATGCAGAAGTGGAGGGGCAGCGGAGGGCCATGGTGGGCTTTTGTATTTGCCGTATAAGACGCAGGCACTTTTTTCCCCCCGATTTTGGAGAGAAAAAGTGCGTCTTATACGGCGAAAAATACGGTAA